GATATAGTAATTATTAGACTCCGTTATATCGACATCAATGGGAATTTCCACATCATCAATTTGGATTGGAATATTAGTAACTTTTTCTAATGGTCGCGAACATCCTCCTTGTATATTAATTATAGTAATCATTGATGAACCTTCAATTTTTCTATTTAATTATTGTAAGAAACTTTTTGACATAACGCTTCCAGCAGATCCTGAATCTAGGATCAAATAAATAGGTTTACCATCCACAAAGGCATAACAGTATACAGCTTCTACAGCTTTAGGTACATCAATTTCATTTGAGGGATTCAAATAATGACTGGTACTCTCACCCTCTAGAGATACCCTTAGTAGTTTAAAGACTGATTCGATGGATTGGAAGGATTGCTAGTAGTGGTAAAGGTATTGTTAAAAGGAAACGTTATGAAAGGCTGTGGAGGAGGTGGTAGTAAAAACGTATTTGGAGTATTATACATGGAACTTCCTTGTAATAAAGCAGCTCGTTGGCCTGTTTGACCAGATTGTGGTTGACTAGTATAGAAATTTGGTGTCAGTCTTGTTAGACATAAGTTTCCCCAGTGTCCAAGCTGATGGCAATGTGGGCAGGGTCCAGTAGGTATGGTATTACAATTTTTAGCCATATGTCCTCTTTGCTTACAAGTAAAACACCTATTCTCATTCTGGTATGTATTATTCCTATTCTTTTGAAAATTATTTTGACTACCACTTTGATTATTTCGTACTCTACAGTTTTTAGCGATGTGTTCAGGTCAGTTACAACTATAACAGACTTGATTACCATCATTATTACCATTTTTCCAATTGGCATTATTATGTGCTGGGTGACCATGACTATCATTTCGGGGGTTGGTAATAGTTAGTATTTAATAGCTGTTTAACTTCCTTTATCAGTTTTTCATTATTTTCCTTGATCAATTGTTGCATGTTAGGAATCTTTTCTTGTTCTGTTTCCTCATCATGTTGATTCAAATAGGTTTTGCTGAGGGAATACCCTGATAGGACACTATCTTTAGAGAGGACAGCTTCAACAGCTCGAGCTCGATCAATTACCTCTTCTAAATCACAAGGTGCAGTGGCAGCTACTGCGGTTAAAAATTCAGGTCGAAGTCCTTATAAGAACTGTTCAATTTTCTCATCTTCTGATGTGTTATAATCTGAGTCAAGTTTGAGGTAGAGCGATTCAATGTCCGCAGCATAATCTTCAATGGATTGTCCAGGACGTTGCTTACATCGTCTAAGTGCGGAATGCCATTGAGTTCTCCTATGTGTTGTACAATAATGCTTCAAGAAGTGGTAAACGAAGGATCAGTATTTATGTTGTCGATCACAAGAATTATCCCAATATCGCAAATCTTTTTCATTCTTAGTTTTGTTATACCAAGTAAGGGCTGATCCTTTTAGGAATGAAGGGACTAGTATAAGGCGTCACTTATCTGAAATCCCATTTGCATCTCCAGCATGATTATATCATTCTAACCATTCTCTAGGATCTTGATCTCCCCTCTTAAACGTTGATAAGTCTACAAACTTAGCTTCTCGTGATCCACCAAATCCAACAGTTTTGAAGACAGTCTGAAGGCCTTTCATTATCTTAAAGAGTTATCTTTCATCATTATCTTGAGCATTATTGGCATCAAAAGGATCTTTATCGTCACTTTCTGAGTTACTATCTTCAGAGCTAGAACTAGAAGAAGATGAAGAACTGTCATAATAGAAGGGAGAGTGACGGCTTTTTGATTTACCACCTTTCTTATCTTTTGGCTTTCTACTTTCACGCGAGTTCCGTAAATGATCAGTTTTTGACTGAGAGGAACGTGAGAAACAAACATCCTTTTTATTAGCAGTGGTGTTTTCCTCATCAGAAGATTTTGTATAGGTTAGTTTAGGTGGCTTCCCAGTTCCCTGATACGGACTAAAAGTGGAGTTATCAAAGCTTAGGGTTCATTTTTCAGGGTCTTTTTCACTTGGAGTAACGTCTGCAATGATAGTATTCTCAGGCAGGTAATTTGTCTGAGGAATCAGATCTTCTTTTGCTGATTCAGAAGTGGTACTATTTCTACGGCTCATCGAAGGTTTAGTCATCCTAAACGGAGAGGAATTATGACTTATACTTAAAAGGGATATATTAAGGTAATTAAGTAAATTGCCTTGATATTTCTTCTGAAATAATTCAGTTTCAGTTTGAGCTCGAAAATAGTATTCAACGGCTCGCTCAAAGGTTGGTATCGGTACTTGCTTATATCTCAAAGTTTTAAGCGTCTGCTGATAATATATTTCTTGTACACTGGTAGTTTTTGCAAAGAGAGCAATCTGAAAAGCTTCTAAACTTTTGCTAGTGTATAGTATTGCTCCTAAGACTTTCTGTGCCCAATCAAAGAAATTGAGAAAAGTTGGAGGGATTTCTTTTGGCGGTAGATTACAAGCAATACAAGATGGATCGTCAGTTAAGACGGAAGTAGCAGCTTTTCTAAAGTTACGCTCCGATTTGTTGTGTATAGAAGAATGAATCCTTTGGTATTTTATCAACTCTCTAAAGTTATTCATAGGGTGTTTCTCATAGTACTACGTAAACAGGAAAAGGGGGTCCTGTCGTCGTCGCCAAATGTTAACTGTCGCAATTTGCAAGGATTGCACGTTAACAATATAAAATATCATAACTGGTTATCACTAAATAAAAATGCTAAAATAGCACAAATAACATGATATTTAAGAGAAAAATCTTCTATTAATAAGATTAAAAAAACTCAAAATTTTTTGAATATTGAATTGGATAATATTAATAATAATGATAATGTATTGAATGAAAATAATATGGATATAGATGAACTAATAAATAATTTAGGAAAAATATCAGAAAGAATAATTGATAATATTAGCATTTTTGAATCTAATAATAATTTAGAATATCTTATTTTACTTGAACTCTTTAACTTTTAGTTAATTGAAATAGTAATAATTAAAGAAATTAGCTTTATATTATAAATATTAAAGATTAAAAAATGCAAAATATAAATAAATAAACCATAGAATTTTTTTTATGATAATAAATATATTATGTGATTTTTATTAAAATTGATTAATCAAAATTTTTAATATTAATAATTCAATTATTAACTTAATAAGTAGTTATTAATTAAAAAAAAATCAAAATAATTTTTAAGTCTTATCACTAATCATTAGTTGAAGTGATAGAATATACAAAAAATTTATAATTCAAAAATGATAAGCATATTTGCTAATTTAAAAGTACAAATAATATATTTTAATTAAATTTAATCAGCGTTAAAAAGCATCACTTAATGTATTTATAAATAAAATATGCAGTATGTATAAACTTAATTTATTCATTATATCCATCCTATCGTATATCTATTGAATTTAACAATGTTTTATTCAAAGTTAATTCAGATATTATAATCGCAAATTACTAAATTTTCAATTAGGTAAATATATAATAAGTAAATTATTAAATCTGAAATCTGAACACTGCTAATGGTAAAATTTTTTAAACAATGCTATACAAAAAGCACACTTCTGAAATTAACCATATACAAAATTAGCATAAACATAATATTATTAAACCAAAAATCTTCTATTTAATGGTATTATAGCTATTGAATCTGTTTAGACATTCTGAGAATAATAATCTTTTTTTATAAATTAACATACAATTCATTGAACTGGTATAATATTTTCATGTGTAAGTTTTCTTCTAAATAAAGGCTTTCATAATTTAACATGTCTCATACTATTTTGAACAATTCTGTCAAGAGTTTTAGATAATCCTCGTTATGGAACATTAAAATGATCTTTTTTGCTATGTTTACTATACCAATCAACTATTGCTAATATATGTTCTGTAAGTCTATTTGATAATGCTATTATATGTTTAAAAAAATAACAGATAGTTGCTAACCAGTATTCAAGATTATCTTTATTGTTTAAAAAAGCAACTATCATATTAGCATTAAGATCAGAATAACATAATTGTGATCTAAACCATTCATTAGCAATGTAAAGAGCAGATGTACGTATCATTGAAGATAAAATGAATATTATATCTTTGTTTTGCTTTTGAATTTCAGAATAGAATTTGTATTTGAAGTCAGCATAAACCTGTTCATAATAACCAATTAAGCAGTTAATTAGAGATTTTCTCATTATTATTTTGTATGTAGGAGGTATTAGTTTACCGAAAAATAATTCACAGCCACGGATATTTATTTGGTCTATATGAAAATATAAATTTTGGAAATACAATGCTTCTTGAATTGAAAAATTGTATTTTTCCATTATACCCTTAATTTCTTGTTAATACAATCTTAACTTCATAAAAGATTCAGTAATTTGCTCCAAAAAAGATGTTTTAGCAATTGCAATCATATGTTGTAATATGGACTGTTGATTAATTATATTCATTACTTTAGTAGCAAAACTTCTTCTAAAATTTGGAATTGATGTTAAATACCTAATAAATATAAAGTATACTATAAATATGAATTGAATTTTAATATTTATACAATGATAGCTTATTTACACTTATCTATTGAGTCTTTCAAAAGGAAAACATCAAAAACTATAGAAAGGTCCATAATCTAATAAGCATTTCTTAATATGAGGCCTTTGCAATAGAAAGGGAAGAAACTCAAAAAAAAATAAAAAATGAGTTAATAATAAATCTGAACAAATTATAGTATTTAGAACATTTTTGGCTTATAAACTAAAATTTTAATTTTTTTGAAGTTTCTTTTCTTTCTATTGCAAAGATCCCATATGCAAATACATATGCATATTTGGAGTTATAATTTCTGACCTCCAAATTGATTCCAATTTAATCAAAAAGTCTCTCATCGCTAAATCTTCATATTCAATTTTTTCATGACTAATTATAGTTTGTCCCCAAAATGAAAGACAATCAATAAAAGATTGCCAGTAGCATTGATGATTTTCAGAAAAAATATTTCGTAAGCTAAAGTTGAATAAATTAAACACTATAATCTCCATTGATCTGCCATAAATCTAGCAAATCTTGATGCTATTTTAAGAGGTATACGACCTATATCTGAAGGAAAAGAAGTATTATCAATTATATTTTGTATTTTTTTAAGATCATGTGTAGAGATTAATAGTTACTCGCTAGATGTCACTCTTTCATCATTCATTTAGTAGTACCTAAATATAAATTGTATATAGAATCTATAACAATGAATCGCTGAATATCTATATATAAAAGTTGCATCAATGGTGTCCAATGGATACCATATTCACTAAGTATTTGGTTATGTATCAAAGAACTTGCTTTTTTATATTCATAAGCAATATTCAGATGCTTCTCTCTAGAACACTGTAGAAGATTAATATTGAAATTACCAAAATCTGATTTCCATTTACTTGTATTTCTATTCTGAATTATAGGAAAAGTATGATCACATCTATAACATCCTCTTTTAGAAAAATGACTAGAAAATCCTCTGATCTTATAATTAAAATATAATTAAATATATAATCAAAATATAATAATAGTAAAATTAAAATAATACCTTTTGAACTGCGGGAGTATCATATGAAATTATTATTAAGGCTGCACAATATATTCGATCAAATGGATAATTAAGAGTTTTGATAACTTGACCAGCCCATAATTGGAGAATTTTATCAACTAAAGGTTCAATATACTGATGGATTTCATTTACATCAGGCTTATGTGGATCAGGTATAATTCTAATAACAAAGATGTTTTCTTCACAAAATCATAAGTAGCGTGGTAAATTTAATATTGTTAAATATAAAACACCAACAGAATGTTGAATATTTTTACAAGGATTGAACCAATCCAAATTCAAAGCAAATCCTATATGAACTTCTAAAATGCTTTTAACAAAAAAAGGATGATTATCAGAACCAGTAAATTCTTTCCAAACTCTTCCTTCATATATATCAGCAAATATATCATCCTCAACATCACGATCAAAACATGATTCTATTAAATCTTCCATTTCTGATTTTGATAAAAATACTCCTAATTAACGAATTATTGAATGATATAGATAAACTTTGATTGGCTTAATCAGGTACTTTCCTTTAGAAGTTCGTACTATCTTGGTAATCAATTTATTATATTCACATTTAATATAATCAGTTTTGTCATCAAGAATATCTGATAGATAAAGATGATGACAATGTGGACAAATAATATAATTTATATATACAT